GCTTGCTTGACAGCCTCCGGGTCGTTTTTGAAACCCACCATGCATAGTAAGAGTCTTTTCGCAACCCCCCCCCCTCACCATGCGAGCAGTATGTTTGCAAACAGGGGGGGGTGACCCTGAAAAGTTTCAAACTTTCGAAAGCAAAGCTTCAAAAACCGTGGCAAACCCGCTGAAGCTCTCAAAACACTCCAATATCGTTGGAAAACCTCTCAAGCCCTCTAAAAGCGCACTCTAAAACAGTCCAAAATCGTCGCACACCCCTTTCAAACTATCAGAAAGCCTCTTAAAACCCATGAAAATCCTTCTAAAACCGTGGAAAGCGCAATAAAACCCTCAAACAGGGCAGATCCGCACCAAAAAAAGAAGAAGAAAAAATGAAAAAGAGTAATTTAAAAAATCCACCCTTTAGACTTTGCTTGTTCTGGGCTGGCATTGGCCTGTTCGTTATGGTTAGCCGGTTAGCCATGGGCCTACGCTCTCTGCCTCTTTCGGGTTGAGGGCCCCGCCCGGCCTCTCGCTGGGCATCTCTGGGGCTGGAAAAACAGCACAGCTTCAGGAAGGAAAGGATCCGTTTCGATGTCGGGTTCTATGGAGCTCACGCGTCTTTTTTTTACACGGCCGCTGTCTCCACAGCATGGTTCAAGCTCGTGCAGGTGCCTGGTAACCGTAGGTGACGATCCATTAGCCATGCCATTGATAGCAATGTTCGTTAAAGCTGAGATGGAGGCTGGACTGTTCCGAACCGGAAGTGGCAAGACAACGTGACAATCCCATGCACTGTCTCCAGGGAGTGGAGCGATTGGTCTTTCCTAGTGATGAAACCTGGAAGCTTGATGTTCAACAATCTGGCGGAACGGCATCTTGGGCAATTTTTTTGAGACAGTCGAGTCCAGAGAAGCGCATGTCATTGCCATCCGAAGTCAGTGCGCAAGGAAATCCGAGAGGGCATCACCATTGACCCCACCAACGAGGATGCTTGCGGCGGCAAAGGGCCTGCCCATCTGTTTGTGCTTTGGGTTTCCTTTCGCAGGAGGAGATCCCCAACAGCAAAGGGACTGCTAACTTCCTGATCAAGTGGGAGGGTGCCAAGGCTGGAGCGTCTGGAGTCCGTTTACCATTCCGAACCGTCCCATTCCTGCAGAAAGCAGGGTGAGTCGGGATCCGTTCTTGTAGCTCTCGCAGGCTCCATCGTCAATCAGCGTCCCAGCCTTAGCAAAACAAACTGTGACCAGATAATGTGCAACGTGTTTGCTGACAGATCACAGCCCAGGTGATGACGCCCTCCAGATCTACGCCAATCAAAGATAAGGATGTGAAGGATAAGACTCTTGGGGAGTATTCGGAGGGAGGTGTGATGCAACCCGCTGCTCGGCTGTTAGAGATGGGGTTCCGGGCCGTTTCGCAGTGCTGCATTGTCTTTGTCTCAGGTGGCAGTCTTCGACTGTCGAGGAGCTGAGCCAGTAAAGTGGTATCCTCTGGGAGTCACTGTGGAAACAAGTTGGGGCAAGTTTGAGAGCCTCGGACCTCGAATGACGCGCTGGATATGCTGAAACAGCGAGCACAGATGCTCAGAGCAAAGGGACTGCAGAGCCTGCTCAGGAACGTGGACCTGTCGGATCCCGATGGCTGGATGGAGTGCAGCGAGAACGGTGACACCGCCACAGTCGCTGATGCTCGGGCCTCGACGCACATTGCTCGAAGCCGTGTCGTTCCGATGCCTCCCTTCAGGTCCAGTTTGAGTTCCGAGTGGTGAAATGAGATAGAGCCTTCTGTGTGCAACAGGGTACGGTGTGCAAGCAGACTAAAACGTCTGAACGAGTGGCAAAATGCCTTCCCTATAGTTTCCTAGATTAGGGTCCGACAAACTGCCACAAGAGCAGTTCAAGTGCCACCAGCTTGGACAACTGCTGAGCTGGGTTGTGCATGCCCACAGCTGCGTGGACCTGGTGGTGCAGTCATGCAGTTGAAGTTTCCAAGGCTTCTCCCGCTGCATTTTGCAAGTCGTGAATCTGCTTGGGGACGTGTCCCAACTGCAGCCAAGTTGACGAACGTGTTTCATGGTGTGTTGCCCGTGAGACCCGAAGGCAGACACCACGGGTGCGGTTGCTGGGTGGGTCCCTTAGAGAAGCCCACGATCGCGATTGTTTGCACCGTGTGAAGTCATTTTGTGCATTTACTTCTTGCAGGCAGATGGCTGGAGCCTTGTACGGATGGCCGATGGCTTGGACGGGAGTACACTAAATTCACGGAGTAGACGTTGTGCGGGCGCTCGGGCTTCTGTGACTGCGGTGGAAAACCCGTTTGTCAGTGGAAAGAAATGCAAGCGAGGCAAGCCGTTGCCGGCGATGAATGGGGGTGCCACGGCTTAGTGGATTGCTTTCAGCCAGCTCGTGATGGCTGTGCAGTCCAGGTGCTCCCGCCTTTTCGAAGTGCAGTGTTGGGATCCATACGCAGAAATTGGTCCGATCCTCGACTTGTGAGACTGAGCTTGGCCCGGGCTCACAGGCAGTCCGGATGCATGCAATGGCTATCGAAAGCAATGTGTTGCTTCACAAAGCCTGCAAGATAATCCCGGCCGCGGTTGTGTTGCCTCTGTTTCCAAAGCTTCTTCATGTCTCAGGTGTTCGAGCTGCGCTCCTGTACCATCTGTTTCCGGCCGGAAGAGAGGCGGGGTATTGTGCGGCGGAGCATCTCAACAGGTTTGCATGTCGCTGCTATTAGTCATGCCGAACTGAATTGTGCCGGTTGAGATAGCCGAAAACGAAGCTGGTGTGCCCATCTTGGTTCACTCATTCAGCAGGAAACACACGAATCCCATCCCCGTGTGCTCGGCCAGATGTCCAAGTCACACAGCAAAGTTGGTGGCTCTCTCTCCTCAATAGAAGCCGGGGTATTGAAAGTGTTTTGCGTTCGTTTGACGACAAACCGACGTAAGTACATCATCTCACGTGGCCGACTCTGAGGTTAACTCGCTTTCTGTTGGGGGCTTAAGCGGTTGTGACGATGCCACGAGAAGGCTTCACATGCTCGAATAGCCTTGCTGCGTCAGGTTCTACACTTGCCTTCTGTCCCCATGTCTCGAGTTTCGCCATAGCAGACCTGCACACGTATAACACCTTGCTGCTTTCGCGCCTAAGCGCAAGCAGGAAGTTGTGTTCCGATGAGCTGCAGCTTCACAAGAGTTCAGTCCGAGAGCGGTGCAGCAGTTCCCCCCAGAATTTTTTGTTTTTTGCCCGTGCTCTTTCGCCGGTGGGCCGGTGGGCTTCACTTTCAACAGCACTAGCCCCGGAGTGAAATTGATGCTCGTGTTCGGCAGGTTTCCTGTCCACTACCTAGTCGCCTTCCAACGGATCTTGGCCCAAGCTGTGGCAGCTGGGACGATGAGGCCGCATACCTCGGGTGATGGTGATCCAGGAGCCGGTCGCCGTGGTCGCTGACAGGGGTTCCGGGAGACAGCGATTCAGATCACGCAGCCATGAGGTCGATGAAGTTGGTGACGGAGATCACAGTGAGACTGCATTCAAACAGAGCTTTGCTAGCGGTCCTAGCAGCTCGCACGAGAGGTGCTGGAGGGTGGCTTCGACTCGAGGCGGTGAAGGTGGCTGGCTTGCTTGTTCACGCCGCTCCTGAGAAGCCTTTTCCGACTTGCGAATGCATCGAGTTGAGCTCGAGACTTTTCGCCACCATCCCCACGGGAAGAAGTGGACCAAACGGAACGTCCCTGCAGACTCGCAGGTTCAGTTCGATTTTGACCTCCTTCTGCGAAAGGTCTGCAGCACATCGTCGCAATTCTTTACAGAAAGTTCGGGGCATCCCAGTTTTTTCGGTCCAGTTCTGGTCGCGAGCATCTCGGGAAGATTATGGCGGCATATTATTTGTGTTACCTAGTGTGTTCAAGCAGAACTACGTACGAAAATGGCAGTGCGAAAGCAACATGTTTGTTTGGTGAAGGTTGGGCAACTCCTACGCTCCTACTGCGAGGGCAACACGTCCTCTCCCGTCAGATTTCATCAGCATCCGACTGCCGCAGGGCCACCATTTTCATGTTTTCCTTGCCACCCTGTGCCGTCTGTCGGAAAAGGATTTCATGCGGAGGCCGAAGCAACACGCGACCTGCTGCTTATCGGCGGAAACCTTTTCGTCTACAATGGAAGTGAGTCCTTTGTCTCAGGATTAAACCCACAGGCCGAAGTTGCTTCCGTGGTCGGCTTTAGGAAACAGCCCAGGTCGGCAAGTGATTGAACCCCGACCATTAGCTGGCTTGGGTGAGTCTTTTCCGGATCCTCAGTTTCGCGCGACCCCGCTTCAGACGCCAAATGACCGCTTCAAACCGACTACAGCTTTGTCGGTCGGTTCTGGATCGTTGGTGATCATCATCATCATCACCACATATCACCACCATCATCACCACATCATCATCATCATCATCATCATTATCATCGTCGTAGTCGGTAACTTCGTCACCATCCATATCCTTTACCACATTGCCGTCAATATCAGCAACCTGCGCTTCCTCAACCACGAGCTCCTCGTCCTTATCATGCTTGTCGAAAAATGTTGATGGCAAGTATTTTTCGAATCGTCCAGCAGAAACTAAACTGGATCTTTCGGGGTTTGATAGACCACAGCCGTGAGCCTCTGAGATTTAACCCGATGTCTAGCTACTGGATCGCCGAATCTCAGTTCAGCCTGTACTGGGGCCGTCGGGCGCAGAAGTGCAGACGCGGCCATGCAGAGCCAGCGACGGGGCACAATCCCAAGCGGATCCGCTGCAAGAGTCCCGGTCGACGAGATCAGCCTAGACAGGTACTAGACAGGGCCACGTGTACACAAACGCTCTACATGATAACCTCTTCGCCCGGCAAGGCTGCCCGCCCTCGCTTTGTTCTCGACGCTTCACTCATCCTACTGACAGTTGGACATGTCCACTGCATCATTCAGGCAGATGCATGCGGTTGCAAGTATTTTTGGTCCAACGAATGTTGCCCATTATTGATTGACTTGCGGTTGTATGCGTTTGGGTTTGTGAATCCCCAGCTTTTTCATCGTGAGGGCCACAGTCACCGCAGATAGGGGCCGCAAACGGAGAAAGTACGTCAGATCGCTTTTTGGGCAGCGGATCCTGCACAGGTCCAACTGTGCCAGCGCGAGGGGCATGCAACCATTCGTGTCTTCGATCATCCCAGCGAACACTCCCGATCACTTGTCGTAGCCTCAGGCTGCTTTCCGCAGAGTACATGGGAATTCTGCTCGTGCCGTGCTATCTCTGGCAAGGTTGGGGAGATCAAGTCTGAGACACGCTTTTGACTCGGTACTTCATGCTGAAGCCTAGTGTGCGATCCGGTCAGTCTATTCAAACCTTTGATGAGGTGTGCAGCAAAGGAGCTTATTCGGGAATTTCGCGAAGGTCTTGGTCCGCAACACCCTGCTGACACTCTGGTGTGCAGATGTTGTGTGCTGCAGGTCATGGGAAAGGATCTCTACGATCAGGATATCTGCGGTTGGGTTGGCATCAAGAACGTGCTTTTCTTACGGGACCGTGGGGAAGGCGCGGAGCTTGTATCCTTCCTCTGAAAATCTCTGAAACCAGGTGCAACCAGTTGATGAGAAGTGGGACTTCAGCGAAGAAGGCGGATTGTCTGATCAGCAATCTGGAAGACTGATTTGTGTGCAGGCTCCGACGACAATGCCCCACCAGATGATGTATATGCTTCTGCAGCCAGGACGATCTGACAAGATTCCGATTGCTGCGCTGACTAGGGCTGGTGGCAGTAATCAGGAAGAATCTCCTCGAAGGGGTCTTGGGCTCTCTGAGTTTCGGACATTTCTGCTTCCAGTGCGCCGCTGTGCGATGCTGGCGATGCCGGCGGTTTTGGTGCGGAAGGAATTTTGTTTTGCAGCGCTTGCGCCGATGGTGCGGAGGAGTGCCGTGCCTCAAAGCACAGGGCAAGAGAGAGGCGCAGTCATGTCGGCGTTGATGTGTTTTTTGTCTTTGGCGGCTTTTGATCTGGTCAGGATCCGCCTCAAGACGGTCGTTGACAGCTCCTGGCTCAGCTAAGTCAGAGTGGCAGTCCGACATCCGTTGCAGCCCAGCTGCGACTCAGACGCCTCCGTCTCCGCTTGGAGCTCGTGGCTACCCTGCCTAGCGCGATGCTGGAGATGCAGACGGCAGATTCTGATCGTCTCGTGGCCGAGCCCGCTTCCATAGGCCGCAGCAAGCTTTGTGTTGCTTCGCTTGTTTGCCCGGAGTTCTTGTGTGGAGTTCAGCATCCAGAGTCTTCACGGATGATGTGGGCCGTTTGCCTTGACACATCAGCTGGAGAAAGATGCGCTAACGCGAGCCTCATTGCAGGAGCATGATAGGTTTGACGCGCCTTGACAGGTTCCGTATCTTTGCCTGAATGTTGCAGAGATGTTTATCATCCTGCGAGTTGTCGCAACAAGAGTCGGGACGTTGTCGACAGCTGACCGTGCGGTTCGTGGCCCAGATGAATAGGAGAACCTTTCACATCAAGCATGCTGGCTCCGACCTTCCTGATAGTACAGCGAGGTCCTTGCTGAAGTCATACAATCGTGCATGTCTTTTGGAGTAAGTAGAAGCAGGAAATATAGCACGAATGCGCTGACTTTTCTCAGCCATGGCTGCAGCAGAATGCCTTCCCTTCAGAGCGCCAGAAGCTGAGAGAGCGAAGCTGCTCAGAGATTTGGCAGCCGCTATGCAGCCCAGGTGACGAATCGCGATGGCTGAGAGCGTGGAGGACTTTTGGTTCATGAGCTTCGACAGACTTGCGGCAGGGACAGCCTGTGTGGGGTTGACTGAAGTTTAGAGGAGCTGCGAATCCATGGCTTCCACTGGCCGCTTCATCCATTGCAGGTGAGCTCGGAGAATGGAGGGTAATTGTGTTTCGCCACCTCCCGGAGCGTTAAAATCTGATTCCTACACCTTGTGTTTCTTGTTGTTTTTTTGTTTTTTATGTTGTGTTTTTGTTTACTTACAGCCTAAACTTTACGCTCAACAGCTCAAAAACTCGAAACCCCAGAACCCGAATCACACTCAAGACAGACTAAACCCTAAACCCGGATATCCAGAAACATTAGGCTCTAAAGCCCCCAGTTCTAAACGAGCAAGGCGACGATTTTTGTGTTTGTTGTCACATTTGTTGCCGGAGTGAGCCCAGAATCCCACAGTCTGTGGCACGCAGTGGGTGTTAAACCAACAGTTGAAGCTGGGCAACAGAAACATAGAGAAACCTCGAATCTTACATCTAAGGCCTTAAAACGTAGAACCGCGAGATCGAAGCCTTAGACAAGACACCCTAAGGATTCAATCCACCGAGCTCTAAGACAGACCATTCGTATTTAAACCAAAACTCCAAAGCATCAACCTGGCTAAACCCCACAGACCCTAAAACCTTAGAGCCCAAGCCCTTATAACGTTGACCTCAAAGCTTAAATCTCAGAGCCTAGTAACATAAATGCAATGGCCAGTGAACACCAGGTGGTCAGCTGGGTTGTCTTTGGAACAGACTTCGTTGTGCACTGGCCTCATCGTGCAGGTTGTTCACAGGTGTCTTACTCCAAAATTTCACCTCCGATCTGCGTGTCTGCAGGTACTTGACGCTTTGTGTTCCCATGATTGAGACGGTGCTTGCGCAGGCTGACTTCCGTAGCCTGTTGCGACTGACACTTGCAACATCAAACGGCTCTCCTGAGTTCCTCAGGTCCTCGTGACTTGCTTCTTCCTTATCAGCGTGGGATTCCTGGTCGTTTCCACCTTCCGTGCAACCAAGTGCAACCCCATCGACCCGTTCGTGCTTCGGGATGCGACGCCCCCAGATGTCGATGTCTAGTGAGAGTCTAGTGTACTTACCATAAACATAACTTTGTCCTGTGCGGCAGTGGTCTCTCCCACGAATCATCTTTATAACGTTTCTGACGGGTGTAGTCTGGCAATAATGCGGAGCCCTTTCTTGCACTGCACGTTTGCGAGAAGCATGCAAAGGGTAGGATCATGCTCCAAGTGCACAGTCTTTCTTTGTTCAGGAATCTGAGTTCAAAGACGAGGACTTGCAGGCATTGTCTTGTACTTGGCACAAACTTCCTTCCTCCAGGAGCTTGATGAGCTTCCTTTTTGTGGTCTGCCTTGGCCCGAGTGCTGCGACGACGCGCTCCGCTCTGATACAGTAGTGGCAGCGCCGAGGTGTGCTACAACAGTGCAGGCACGGAGCAAACATTGCTGGGGCCCGTGTGAAGATCGCAGGAAACTGTATCTGTTCCCGGCGCTCACAAAGAACACACAGTCTGCTGCACGAGGTCGGGCCTGCAACAAGTGTGTGGCATCTTTCGATCACCACTGCATGTGGCTTAACAACTGTGTCTGGGCCTCTGACGTGCATGAGCCGCTGAGGAAACTCTCGGTAGCATACACACATAGTCATAGTCGTCATGACATCCAGCTGAGATTGGTGGAGACAACTACTACGCCTTTTTCGTTTCAATCAGCTCCGTTGGCGTGATGATAGGCAGGTTGAAGTCGTTCTCTGCGAAAGGAGAGGAGGAATGAAGGGAGTCTATTCATCCGTCATCTCGAAACTGTTGAGGTGTCGTGCTGGGCACCATATTGCAGCGGCCTGAGTTAGCAACCGCACAATGCATTCAGCGGGTGCATATTCACTGACGGCTGCGGCTGCACGCAAGATGGGAGCGAAAGGTATCAGTTCATTGATTATTTCACCAACGAGGCCTGGATGTGAGAACATATTGTTTTGTTGCAGTTTGCTTTGGTTTGGTGGGAGGCGTTCGAGTCCCGCTTAGAGGTGGGGCGCTGGCAAGTGGAAATGCATCATGTAGATGCGACGGTCTCGCACTGTTCTGGCAGGCCTCCCCGATCCACTCGGGACTTTCAATGGAGTCTTTTCTGGTGCGGTGAGCTCGGCCATTCAGGTTCATGAGCTTTCCAGCTTCTGAAATCTCCTGAATTCACCGCCGGTACTGAGGACTCTCATTGCAATGTCTTTCGTGAATGTACCATTGTGGTGTTTGGACATGCAGCTGGCTGGCACCCCCAGATGTCAAGACCATGCAAGCGGAAGACCAAGCTGTTTGCATCTCTGTGTGTTGAGTCCAGGTTCTTCTGCACGTGTACTTAATGCAGCGGTCCAAGACTCCAAGCCATGCATGCAGCAAGCGATCCGGAATGTCTGCTGCACAAGGCACAAAAACCTGACCACTTATGAGTACATCATGAACAGACGCGAGCAGGCGTGTGATTTCAGCACCTGTGCATGTCGTTTCAGCAGTCTGTTGGGCTGGCATGGGAACCCCCGGAAACAGGACGCAGGAACCTCCAAGTTTCGTGGTCTCCCTCGATGCATGGACGAAGCCTTAGCTAAGTTAATGTTAGTGCGTAGATGATGATGCTCTTGCTATCTGCTCTTGCCAGGACTGGATCGTCGTCCGGGCTTTTTGCTTGTCCACGCATGGCACTCTCTGCTCAAGCCGCGAGCTGCCAGGTCTTCTCCCGATGTGGCCAGAGACGGCCAAAGAAGAAGCACGGCACTCGCGTGCTCATGTGAATTGCAAGAAGCTTCTGTGACTGTCCCGATCTTCAGGGACAAGATAGAAAAAATTGATGAGACAAAGCCTGCGCCACCAAATGTGCTGCCCTTGACTGCAATGACCATCAGCAGAGTCATCGGAAGAGTGTCGCTTTTTGTGTCCTGTATGTTTATGCTACTCATGTTCCCTCGCTATGGAAGAACGAAGGAAGGAAGGCAGGACCGGAAAGGGGGCTAGGAGGAAACGAAGGAGGGAGGCATGATGGACGGAAGAGGGCAGGATAGAACAACGCATGACGAAAAGCAGGACGGGAATGATTCGACAATGCTAAAAGGACCTTGGGATGCGGATGGTGCGTTCTGGGCGTCTCGACAGTCATGGCATGTTTGTTTGCTGTGTCGATGGTTTTTCGGGGACATGTGACATGTCAGATGTTTAGCGAGTCCCCTTGTTGTGTCGCAGCGCTTTCGCTATGTCGGACGTAGCGGCAGGAGGTTAAAGCACACCACTGATGCTTTGAGTGTTTTTGGCTTTGACTCAGGTGGAGGCTGGAGCTCAGCCACCTGAGCTAGAGACTGACAGGAGACTCATTGGCCTTGGCATTCTCCCAAACGATGTATAGAGCCAAAAAAGACTGTAGAAGTACAGATCACCGAACTGGACGGTGTTTATTCTAGAGTTTGAAGCACCTCGAGGACACTGCCCGCAGCCCCGGCGGAAGCGCCACCTGGATCTACCGGGCCCACTGAAGGTGATGGTGTCGCTGCAAAGCACGAGGCATGCTTCCTGCATCTGCGTTGCTCCATGTGGGCGCACGTGGGCGCTAACAGGCCGTCACAGAAGCCGAGGAAACCTCGCTTGCAGGTTGCAGTCTCAGGATCTTTCCATGAAGTTCGGGGGCCCAGGGCCTGGAGAAGCTTTGGCTTTGAGATCGTAAACAGGCGGGCGGACGGACACTGAGACGGCTCCGGAGCTCACGGTGCCCGTGCCAACCTCAAAGAGCATCGACAAAGAGGGGACAGAGTTTGAGAGATCTGAGAGCTGCTGACCCAATCGTGTTTTCTCTGCTTCCGCCCGATCTCGAGGTTCAGGATGACAAATCTGCCAGAGGTGCTCCCGTGGGATCTGCTGTGTTCGAGACACCTCTAGACCGGCACCAGGTCTTGGTGTGAACAGCGAGGCACCCGAGCGAGGGATTGAGGGAAGCGGCCGAATTCCAAATCTGACAGACATAAGCAGGTGGCCCTGGTCGAGCAGTGTGAAGTTGCGTGCCTGTCTGAGGTTTGTTTCCTGCGTATTCTTCGGACGGTGTCTGACGCAGAGGACTGAGTGCATCCGGTTCTGGCATTTCCTCAGGTCTGGCCCAACAGTGGGCGTTCCACAGGTTGGTTGTGGATGCGATGGCTCGTCTGTGGCTCAGGTCCTGTCCCAGCATTTGCTACATGCAGCCACAAGGTTCACAAGAACAGCAATCTGCAGCGGGATCGTGCAGAGCATTTTAACTCAGATGCTGCAGACAAGAGATCGGATCACCGCACAAACAAAATAACAATGGAGGATCTTCCCATAGTTGGCATGAACTTCGAAGTATCGATAAGACTTGGGGAGGTCCGCCTGGTTTGGATCAGAGTTGCGGTGGTGTGATAGTGATTTAGAGCGCTCTCTCGATGTGCAGCAACGTGTATGGTATTCCGAAGTCCTTCAAGACACTCTGATTTCATGACAGTTCCGAGATCAAAACTCCGAAGGCGCTGGTCAGTATGTGTGGAACGTGTTACTACCAGTAGAAAACGATGAAAATTGTTCGCTTAGGTCGACTCTGTCTCGGGAGGCTCCTAGCGGTCTTGGACGCAGATTTCCCTGTAGTCACTCTGAATGCTGTGCTATCTGTGCTCCTGGGCTCGGGTCTGGTTCTCTTTCCGCACAGCTGAGTCGCTGAGGTAGAGCAGCTGTTTAACGGTGAGGAAGTCTTTGCATGACCGGCACGAAGATGTCACGGCAAAAGTAGTTTCTCGGCCAACATCCGCAGATGCATTGCAGCGATGTTGTTGCAGCCGCACGCAGGAAAGAACTGACACGAGCTTCAGCGTTTACAGTTCGTATGCAGCAGTAGCATTACAATGATGAACGAGGCCTGCTGCGTAGTTCGACTGTTTGCCTCGGGGTAGCAAGGCTCAACCTTTGGGTTGAGCATTTTTTAGGAGATTGCACGAAAGCTGTCCACCACTTACGGTTGAGGCAGTGTGCAACAGACTGCTTCTGAGCAATCCGCTTTTCCGTTTGAGCTCCTGACAAATGCTCAGAGTTCACTCTGCAAGCTCTTCGTCCTTGCACAGATACCAATCACTCCAATGGTGGAGTGAAGATGAGTGAAGCGTCAATCATTTCATCTAGTCAAATGGCTCCTGCCTAGGTCGCGAAAGAACTAGTACCTGATTTGCAGTCTGCAGTGTTTTTGCATCAGCCAATCTGTTTCACCTTCATGAACACGGGCTGCATTTTATCTCCGTTGTTTTCCGGGCACCGGCAGGGGGAAGCTTAGCTTGCTCATTTTATCACATCCAGCCTTCACACGCCTTGCCCGTGAGAATGAGTAAATCTGTGAGTGATGTCGCGAGTTGGCGCCACTCCGCTCTTCACGCCGGATGCAAAATTGCAAAGACGTTGTAGTGTGCTCTAGTATTCTCTAGTTTGCAACCTTCCTGTCTGACGGATGCGGTAAGCAAGTAAGCAAGTACCCTAAAGCTCTGCGAAGCTGTACTGGCATTTCTCTGTGTGTAGCAGCTGTTCATAGATTATGCTCCTGCTACCATGAATGCATGAAATTGAGCAGGTTAGCCACCACCGACCTCTTACAGCATGTCACGTCTTGGCATCGCCTTTGCCTTGCAGCCGTGGCAGCTTCCGGGTCGTGGCTTGAAAGCATCATTTGAAGTGTCGAACCCCGTTTTCAGCGAGGGCACCCCAGATTTCGAAAGCCTGTGCATGTATGGCTGGCGTTGCCATGACAGACACCTAATTTTGTCGGCAAACATCACACCAGTGATTCTTATCTCGCAGCGCAATGCTGCGATCAAGCATTTGCTTAGTGAGGAAGATGCATCAGCCCGAGCCAAGCTTCAAACTCGCAAGCGTTGGATTTTTCAGTCTATGTGTTCAGGTTCCTGCCATTCTATTCCAAGGCATGGTAACCAATAGAAATGTGAGCAAGAATGGCTGTGGCATGCCACTCGGCAGGAACGCGGTCCACCCAAAATCCGTCAGCAAGTGGTGGGAACGAAGGGGCGAAGGTCGTGAGCATCTGTCGTCAGATTGCATTCATGCGTTTCTGAAGAGGTTCTTCAAACTGGTGGTCCTTTGCTCGGCTTTGCCGTGGGCTGTGAACATGCTGTCTCCTGCGCTGGCTAGGCATGCAACCAGCGAGATCCGCAAAATGGTAAGCACATGGAGGCCAGTCTCTAGCGAGCTGCGCGCATCTGCTCGCGGCACATCTCTGCCTCTGCAGGTTTTGGGCAGCTATGCCCCCAAGGCCCTATCTTCGGGGACCCTTGGTTCCTCTCTGAATGGTTCGTCAGCTGGCAGGTAAAGTCCAACATCAAGGAGATCCGCCTGCGCTTCTCGAGAGTCAAGGCCAGGTCGCAGAAGTGAGTTGGCGATGGACACCCAGTGACTGCTCTCAGTTCTGGATTGGTGTGGGTGCACAGTTCAATCCAGGAACGAGGCCTGGCCTGCCGAGTTTTTTTCGCGCCAATCGCTTGCTCTAATGACATTCTAAAGTATCCTCGACCTGAACCTGTAAGGGTTCCGAGTCTGAAGCCGTTCTCCTGTTTGACAATGTTGTACAGATTACGTCTTGAGCACATAGTTCGTAGTTCTGCAGATGCCCACGTGACTGGTTCTAAAGTATCTGGAAAGGCAGCTGCTGGCTTTGGCTGGGCTGATTCCGACTGCGACGCTCTTGGATTGGCGACTTGTTGAATGTCAATGACGGGATATGACGGGATCCGTGCTGCCAGCCACCTCCACTTTTCGGACATCGAACCAAAGGCCACTACAAAGAGCTGCAGAAGGCCTTCGGATGCCTTCGGTCTGTTCGCAGTGCAAATCAGGCCTGAAAAGCTGGCAGGTTCTGGACCTGAGACAGGAAGCGCATGAGGCAAGCACGCTAGCCCGCTAGCAAGCTAGCAACCTGCCTTTCATCTGTCTTCTGCGCCTTCGGTTGTTCTTTGCGTATGAGGCCGCGGTGCAGGAATACCATAAGCATTCCGGTGTCAAGGGTATCCACGCTGCAGCCTCGAACTGCACAAATTTGGATCACGACATTGCAGTAAGGAGTTTCAGTGATGTCGGGAACTTTCCTGCCTGGCTGCTGCTCTTCTGCAGAGGTCCGTTGAGAGACACCAGCTAATGAGGCAGAGTCACTTCCTTCAAGACGGGCCGGATTTCCAACCTGTACATAGCATGTTTCTCATTTCTGGTGAAAACCGAATCTGATTTTGGCTCCGCTGGAAGTAATGACTGCGTCCCCTATGACTTTGCAAAATCGGCTCTGCTTGTATTAGCATAACTTATATACAGTGGAATCCTGGGCAGTGGCATTGCGGCATATTGCGGCATTGAGAGAATCTTGTAGCCTGTGTCGGCAGAAGAGCACGCGTGAATTCGGCAGTAGGTTTTCTCTGAACTTGCAAAGCATTTGGGCTCGATATCGAAGTATCAGTTTGTGTATTAGCCAGTGTGGGACATCCGGATGCATGGCCCAGCGTTTGTGGCATCCGTGCCTGGCTTTAACAAGTCCAGAGGTGCTCGCACAGGGCGTTCAAAGTGGACGTCCTGCGAGGTGATCTGGAGCTTGAGTGTCTCGTTCACGGTTCCAGCGGCTTCAACTCTATCCTGTGAGGCTGCTGCGGAAGTGTTCATGTTGTCGTCAAGTTTGCAGGATGTGAGGTTGCAATAGCTGCAAGTCCTTGTGAGGATGACGTGGTCGAACTGCTACACATGCGACAGGCTGCTTGGCTGTTTGGGGTTTCTGCAAGTGAATGTACAAGTTACATATCTTCCAGACGCAACTCGAGTACTAGAGTTACTAGAGACTGGAGAACCTGGCAAACGTGGGAAGGTTCGGATCGATGCTTCCTCGAACAGCACGCAGAGGGAGGATGCAGGTTCGCTATGGTTCGCTGCTAGCTTGTGATTGTTGCTTACAGGGCCGCTCTGCGCAGGTCAAGATCAAGTGGACGCTGTCAGAGACGCTGTCAGAGCTGCCACACTGAGTGCGACAACACCGGATGCCCTGCCACTCCTAGCTTCGCTCGGCACCTCGAAGCGGCCAGAGGCGCATTCTGCATTTTGCCATTATTTGTCATTCCGAATAGCTACACTAGACTCACTAGACTTACTCCCAGAAAAGGGTGAGATGTGTTGACGGTATTCCATGAAAGGCATGGTTTGATACTCAAGGAACTTGTGTTGTGCGAGTGCAGTTGCATGCAAGGGCATCCAAATCGAGAGCGAGCGAGCGAGAGAGGAGCGGGGGACTATGTCCTTGAGAGTATACATGCATTCCAGTTTCGTTACTCTACACTTCATGCACCAGCTTCCGAATGCCCTATACTCGTACCTCACACCCCTCATCCCGCATAACGCATGCGGGTGGGCATTCTGCCCGGGGGTCTTAACCGACCCCTCTGCCCGGGAGAGAGAGAGAGAGAGTGAGAGAGCCCTTCAGTGGTGAAACATGGCTGCTCGTTGAACCGCTGACGGCACGTCAGTGGCTCGTTACAGTACAACAAGTACCGGGGGCACACTACCAAGAACCCGGAACACTCCGACTCATGATTGGGGACCAGTTCATCATCACTCGTACGCCCAACACCTGGAGCACACAGTACACCATCATAGCACCCACACCCTTCGTACAGCCAACCGGACAACAATCACCCGGAGCCCCGGTCACGGAGGGGGAGAACCCACAGGCAGCCCGCAACACGGGGAGACCCGAGCAGCCGCAGCCACAAGCCGCGGGGGACAGCCAGGCTATCACGCAAGCTGCCCCGACAACACAGTCCCTGCCCCAGGGCCTTTGGGACGGATGTACGCTCAGACGCAGCCAGCGGGCGGCCAGCACGCAAGCAGCACCTTCCCCAACGCCGTGGTACCACCAGGTTCGTCACGGACGAGATCTACGGGGGAACAAGCCCTCCCCCAGCCCAGCACCGACACCGGACCCACAAGGGGGCGACCACGTGGAACTGATGCAGCGCAGCATCTCTACCTCGAGGGCCTCGAGCAGCACAGACCGCTTCCCAGCCAATGTCAGGAAGGCGCTCCTCACACAGCTCCAAGTCATACGGGATACAGCAAGTAGGTCGCCATGACGGATATAGCGGCGCAGCTTGTGCACTCCGTGAAACAGGGCTCAGGACAACTTCAGCCTAGAGACCGCGGGCGCAAGCGCCCCTTCACTGACCCGAACGCCTTGGCAGAAATCATGCGGTATACTGGCGTGCCAGTGCGGGGGGGAACAGGCAGCCACTGCCTCCGAATTTGATGGCAGAAGACTTATTCCCGAAAGCTTTGCCAAGGGTTCTTCCGTGCGGAGCCTTTC